AGGGAGAGGGGAGAGGGAGAGGGAGAAGAGGGAGAGGAGAGAGAGAGAGGAGAGAGAGAGAGAGAGAGAGAGAGGAGAGAGAGAGAGAGAGAGAGAGAGAGAGAGAGAGAGAGAGAGAGAGAGAGAGAGAGAGAGAGAGAGAGATAAAGAGATTGAAGAAGAGACTATTCTTTGCAAGAGATGTGAGTATTGCAACAAAACTATCATCATTCTGAACGAATCGATTTGTATTTGTATTTTTGTATTACAAATGATCGCCTATAGAAGTCTAAGGGAAACTGAATTACACGGAAGAATAAAGATAGGGACGACAAGAATATTGCTTTGTTTTGAATGAAAATTGACCATTTTCCATTAGAATCATATGCTTAAAAATTGTTGTGGTTTTGTTAAAATGAAAAAAAGAAAAAAATATTTATCTTATATTCAGCCTTAAGGATAGGGTTTCAAAAAATAACTTCAGAGGATCAATAAAACGGTGGTATATGAAACAATAACTTGAAATATCCATACTTTTAAAATGTTCTAATTCCCGACTGATTCCCACCGATGACAAGAGAAAAAGTAATCAGTCTAAACATTAAAGAAATCAAAAGCAGTATATATGATAACTTCACAATAAGCAGCAATTGCCTCTTAGCATGTACCGTTGCTTGTCTCAGAGGAATTCTTGGCATAACAACTGTGCTACAATGAGAAAAAAGGAATATGTGAAAACTCATTAGCCTAGGCTTCGTGGATATGCTAAGGAGTTGCCTTGTTTTGCCTTTTTAAAAATCTATTTTTGGGATATTACCTTGGATATTACTGACGGAAAGAGAGAGAGAGAGAGAGAGAGAGAGAGAGAGAGAGAGAGAGAGAGAGAGAGAGAGAGAGAGAGAGAGAGAGAGAGAGAGAGAGAGAGAGAGAGAGAGAGAGAGAGAGAATACCTTGGATATCACGAACAAATAAAATGAGAGGAAAAATACCTGGGATATTATTGACAAACAGAGAGAGCGAAGATCCCCTAGGCATCACTGATATAGCTACTTCTCGCCCCTGTTGAAATCTGTTTATTAGCGCGTTATCGTTCTGCATCGTTGGAATATTGCTTGATTTATTAATTCCTTATCGTGACAAAAATCGTTTATGTAGGTCAGAATATCAGAAGGGCGATAGTCTCTTGTCGGTTGGATATGTGTAACTCTCCACTTGATTTTTTTTCTCTCTCTCATTCACATCGCACTTAAAAAATATATGGAACTGTAGAAGTTTTTTGTTGTGTAATGTTTTTTGCCATTTAGACACGATAATTTGTGTCGGTTTCTTATTACAGATATATAGATATATAGATAGATAGATAGAGAGAAAGATAGAGAGAGGGAGGGAGGAAGAAAGATAATATATATAGATATGTAGAGACAGACAGAGTGAGAGTGAGAATGTGAGTAAGTAAGAGAGAGAGAGGATAGAGTGAGCGAGAGAGAGAGAGAAAAAATGATAGAAGTGATAGCATACGAATGACACCCTTTTAACACAGTCTCAGTCCAGCTGGATAATACTTTTGCACTTATGACAACAAAGCCATTGCGATATTTATCCAACCTAGTCTGCGTGCACCATCATCATTTCCTCAAAATCAACATACTGTAGTTTAAGATGAAAGTGAAGTTGCTAAGCACATTTTTTTTTTTTTTTTTTTTTTTTTTTAACGAGCACTGACACCAACACTAACACTCCCTTATATGCGAGAATGAAAATGTTTTTGGCTGACATCTTTACAAGTTCTACATATCTCGAAAGTAATCAAAATTTGCTTCTCTGAAAAAATGAATGTATATGAAAATAAGTAGAATGCGGTGTTAAGATAAATAACAATAATATCAATAATTATAATAATAATAGTATTAATAAAAACGATGGTGATACTAATATTTATACTACTACGTATAGAAATAATGATAAAAATAATAGTAATAGCAATAAAAATGATAGCGATTATAATAAAAATAATAATAACAATAATGTAATAATAATGATAGTAATGATAACATATAATATAATAATAGAATGATAGCAACAACAATAATAATAATACAACAACAAAAACAAAAAAAAAAAAAATTACGATTTAAAAACACATCTTCTTAGCCCCGCAATTCCTACTTAGCGAGAGAAAGTGGTGAAGTTCCGAACTCCTCCTCCGTCTTTATGTGTCAGGGCCCTCGTACCCAGGGACCTCGGGCTCAGCTCGGTGTCTGTCTGTCTGGCGTTTTATTCAGTGGATTTTTTATTGGTGATCATTATCATTGTTATTGTTATCATTATCATCACTATTATTTTTATTATTGTTGTTGTTATCATCATTATCATTGTTATTGTTATCATTATCATCACTATTATTTTTATTATTATCATTATCATCACTATTATTTTTATTATTGTTATTATTATTGTTGTTGTTATCATCATTATCATTGTTATTGTTATCATTATCATCACTATTATTTTTATTATTGTTATTATTATTGTTGTTGGTATCATCATCATTATCATTGTTATTATTATGATTCTTCTTTTTCTTTGCATCACCATGATCATTGTACATATTTTTAGTAATGTTACTACTATCATCATTATGTTCTTTATTTTTGTTATCATTATTATCAACATTATTTTAACGTCTGAGCAAAAATGTACAGCTACCTTAGAAAAACCTGCAATTTGTCTTTTTATCTTTAAGAATAAACAAGGAGCACAAGTTTACTCTATTACCATTTTGCCCTTTTCTTTACACAAAAGGAGCCACAGTGTCTTATTTGCAAAACCTCTCTCTGTCTTTCTTTTTTTTTTCTCTCTCTCTTTCTCTTCCCTCCTTTTTCTTCTCTCTAGCATTTCTAAGATTTTATTTCATTCTTTTATCATTTTATTATTATGATAATTATCATCATTATTATTATCCAACGTTTCGCTCAAAACACACATATGATATCATTCGTTTCCACGTAATTCCATAGGATAATTTAATTGCCTGAAGTAACAACATTAATGTCCTTGTCCCTTTTTATGTCAATATTCCGCTAAGCACGCGTAATTTTCTCATAATGGTGACGGTAGTAAATATATGGTGGTGAAATAATAGCAATACTGATATTAGTACTAATATTATCGATTATGTTCATACTGACGAAATAGGTAATGAAAATATGAGCATGTTCATACAATAAATGTATTGGAAATAATAGCTAATAGCAATGATTATACTGATTTTATTTGTCATCCCACCAATTTGCAACATTTCTACTATTATGCTACTATACGGATGGCTGTAAGTGATATAAGTAATGAAACTCATAACATTAATAATGATAATGATGACAAGAATGACGAAAATAATAATGGTACTAAATATAATGATTGTGATAAGAATGATAACTAGCAATAATGATAATGTATATTAACTTTGTTTCGTGATTATATATCTATCTATCTGTACGGCATTATTATATGTCGTTCTTTCATATAATAGATGTTCTCCTTTTTGTTTGCAGCAATTCATCTATTCTTTTCCCACATACTCCGGTATGGAATCCAGACCCTTTCCATCCAGATTTTTGGAATGAAATTTTCATAATGGTGGATACTTTACGCCTAAGGGATCCGGCGGATTCTAAAGAAAGAAAAAAAAAACTTGAAAACTGTTGGATATTGATTTAAAACATTGGCGTAAATATTCAGCGAATGACACGCACCGAATCCAGACTGGCACGGGAAAAGGGCGTATAATGAACATACCCGTAGAACCAACATTTTAAGAGTATATCCGACCAGCAGGTGCAAAAAATAAAATTCCTGTGTTACCACGACCTGTTGATCCAACCGAGAAATCTCCGAGTGCCTTTCGACGCCAAAATAACCACCGGTTGCACACCACCAGGTTTTGTGCGTCTTACTACTACTACGCACTAAATACTAGTTTACACTAGTTTGCTTCTCATGGTATGTAGCGACCGTTACTATTCTAACCGCGCCGAGTTTTATGTAGTTTATTTTGCTTGTTTTCGTTTTATTATGTTGAAAATTTTCTTTATTTGACACTAATTCAACACAAGATGGGCGTGGGAAGAAGACGGGAAGAGATGGAGTAGATACGATGAGAGGAAATACAAGAAGAGGAAATAGACGATAAGAGAAGAGTAGAAAAAAATGAGAGGTAAAGGAAGAGAAGAGCTAGGTGGGCGAGTTCTGTGTTCGTTGTGTGGTAGGTGGGCGAGAAAAGGGAAGGATGAGGAGGGAAAGGGAGAGAATAGAAGTAAAGGAGCAAAGAAAAGGGAAAGCGAGAGAGAGAGAGAGAGAAGAGAGAGAGAGAGAGAGAGAGAGAGAGAGAGAGAGAGAGAGAGAGAGAGAGAGAGAGAGAAAAGAGAGAGAGAGAGAGAGAGAGAGAGAGAGAGAGAGAGAGAGAGAGAGAGAGAGAGAGAGAGAGAGAGAGAGAGAGAGAGAGAGTTAGACAAGAAAAAAAACAACTATAGAATTGGGACGCCCTCCATAGTCTTTCACGACAAAGCCGTCCTCGAACACCAAACATTTCTCCACCTGCACAGGCGATAGCAGCAGAGATACACCAGATATAACAGGGTATCTTATCCGTGTTGCTAATGGAAAAATACACCACGCTCCCTGTGCATGTCTTCACTGTAAGTTTCGGATGCTTTAAGGTCACATTTAGTCTCTGGGTAAGTGGGCCGCGTCCTTGGGTGTAGGATAACACTGTATGGGTCCTTGGATAATGCAGTATGTCAGTGTTATAAAGAGATGTGATCGTTTTAATGTTTCTGTTTTTCCTTGTCGGTCCGTAATCCTAAATGGTAACTCTTACGATAATAAATATGGAGATTTCTTTCGAGTGACGTCTAGAACATCCACTCCGGGAGGTCGACGTTAAAATGAGAAACGGGTTGATAAGCGATAATCAGGAAGGGGAGTATATATGCCAGTCTAGCCCAGTGTGACTTTCGTCTCATTACCACATACCTTCAAAACAGCAGTCTAGTTATCAGAATTCACCTTAAATTTTCACGAATTCTCTCGGTTTTCATCCAAGCTTTAACCAACAGACATTTCCTAGAGTGAACAGAACCTCCAGTCATATAAACCAAATACCTAAAAACCAAGACACAGCCGAGAGAAAAAGAACATTAAAAAGAGATAATCAGCTTCGTGCGCAATAGTGTTGTTTGGCAGCGCCTGCAGAGGGCAGTAGTGGTCCCGCGAGTTGGGAGTCTAGTGCCAGTGGTCGAGGCAGACACAGGAAACTCGCACCTTCTGGAGGCAGCGCTCGAGGAGACAGACGCCATGAACCGTGGGCACTCAGGTAGGAGATCAAGTGCATTTTCATTTGTGCTGAAATCAAGGAAATGTTTTGGAAGATATGGCACTTGTGCCTAACATGTACATGTAAGGTAAAATTGCCTGTGCTCAGGGTAATGGACTACAAGTATACATACATATATACATGCATGCATACATACATACATACAAACAAACAAACATACATACACACATGCATATATACATACATACATATATATACATATATATAAATATATACATGCATACATGCATACACATGTACATAACACACACACACACAACACACACAACACACACACACACACACACACACACATATATATATATATATATATATATATATATATATATATTTATATATACATTATATATTATATAAATACTACATATATATGTATGTGTGTGTGTGTTTACAATTATATATATATATATATATATATATATATATATGTATATTATATATGTATGTATGTATGTAATTGTATATATATATAATATATATGTATATATTTGTAATTTGTATATATATATATTATATATATATATTTATATATATAATAAATGAATATATATATATATATAATATATATATATATTATATATATATATATATATATTATATATATAATTAATGTTTGTGTCTGTATCTCTATGTAAGCGTGTATTCATACGTTTTGTAAACATGCTGGTGTGCATACAAGCCTTCCTCACCTTCAAAGGGCAAAGGTCATTCACACTGACCAACCGCATCGCCGCCAACGCCGCCAGCCTCGTCCACCGCGTTGCTTGGCGTTGCTTTCGCTCTCCCAGGGGGCAGCGAGGCAGTGCGTGGCCGTTCCTTGGCAAGCAAAGTGTCGGCTGGCTCCGTTCGCCGCCTCTCGTTAGCTCCCACAGCCGGCGTCTTGGCTTTGTCTGGGTTTCTGTTGGGGTTGTGGGTGGGGTTTTGGGGATTTTTTGGGGGGTCTGATCTTGGCTTTGTTGTGAAGTTTTGTGATGATGATAATTGTAACGTTAATAATTATAATGATGATATTTGTAACGTTAATAATTTGAATGATTGATTGATATTACTACTACTACTACTACTATTATATTATTATTTGTTATTTTCATTTATTATTTTATTATTTATTATTGTTATTATTATTATTATTATTATTATTATCATGATTATTATTATCATCATCATTATTATTATTGTTATTATGCTTATTATCACTATTATTATATGGGGGATGACTTCGTTAGGTGCAATTTGTTTTATTCTGAGTTGGTGTTGTGATGGTAATGTTGTAGTTTGATGCTTTAATGATGACACGGGTTCGGCATTAAATCCACAGGTGGTGAGTTGCAATAGCAGGCAAACGCGGGCATTTCGTCTTGTAAACATGTTTGAACAAAGTATAAAATTACACGTATACAATTGGTCGGGAATATTCACACTCACACACGCACACACACATGTACGCACACACACACACACACACATGTACACACACACAACCACACACCACACACACACACACACACACACACACACACACACACACACACACACACACACACACACACACACACACACACACACACACACACACACACACACACACACACACACACACACACACTCACACGCACACACACACACACACACACACGCACATACATACATATTGTACCCACGGAAACACGCACATACAAACGCACACTTGGAAACGCATATTAACACGCATGGACTTTGTTGTTGTTACACCGAGCCAAGAGGACGTGATGGCAGCTTCCTCCCCCCCCCTCACCCCATTGCCCCCTCCTACTCGCTCTCCCTTCTCCCTCTCTCTCCTTCCCTCTCTGGCTCTCCATCTCCCTCCTCCGCCCCTCTCCCCCTCACTTTCTCCCTATCTCTCTCCTCTTCTACTTATTCCTCTCTCTCTCCCCATTTTCCTCTCTCTCCTTCTACTCATCCTCTCCCTTCGCCCCTCTCTCTCCCTGCTCATCTCACTCTCTCCTCTCCCTCTCCCTTCCCTCTCCTCATCTACTAAGTATTAACGTGTTATTGCAGTGAAACCTCATATGAAGCTATTTTTTCTTAAATATTTGCATCACGAGGTGAGTGATCGCATATTTGAGGTTATTTTCCTCCTCGTTATGTTGGAATGTTGATGTTGGAGAGTCGCCGGGGTATGTTGGCAGGCTGGGAGGTCAGGGGTAGGGAGGGGAGTAGGGAGGGGGTAGGGGAGATGGGGATGGCAGAGGGTAAAGGGATATAGGTTGGGGGGTAGGGGAGGCAAGAGGGGTATGGGTAGGAGGAAAAGGGCAACATGATGTGGGAGGACATTAGGGTAGGTCAGAATAGGAAGAGGAAACGGCCAAGGTAGATGGGGAGGGTAGGATAGGGAGGGGCCAGGGAGGATTGGAATGGGAGGGGGGGGGGGGGGTAGGATCGGGAGGGGGGAGAGGGTAGGATCGGTAGGGGGGGTGGGGAGGATAGGAATAGGAGAGGGGATCGGGAGGGGGTCGGTAGGGGTAGGGGGGTGGGGAGGTAGGAATAGGAGGGGGATGGGGAGGGTCGGATGGGTAGGACAGAAGTGTAGGGAGGATGTGGGGAAAGCGGCAAGGGAAGCCACGGGTTGGGGTGCATAGTGGGGGAGACAAAGGAGACGAGAAGGGCAGAGGGCTAGGGACCAGGAATGCCCGGGGATTAAGAAAGGGTCACTGTGTGCCATGGTGTGCCACCGACTGTCACTGTAGATGGCTCGGTGCCAGGCGGAGACAGTGCCCCTTACTCTGCGTTCTCACGTCCGCGACTTCTATCCCTCCGCGTCTTGCCTTGTGAAGGTTATCATTAGGGAGTCGGAAAAAATGAACGTTAGATGTTCTGAGACGAAGATTTTTGAAACGTTGCGTTCGCTTTTGTTCTCGAAAGACGGTTAGGAGTGAGCAAACTCATTACTTAGACACACACACACACACACACAAACGCTGGCGGAACTTGTACAGATAACATATCTGCTGCCAAGGAAATTCCAGACGGTGTGTAACTGTAATCGTATCAGTAAGTCATACGTTGTGACGAGAGAGAGAGAGAGAGAGAGAGAGAGAGACAGACAGACAGACAGACAGACAGACAGACAGACAGACAGACAGACAGACAGACAGACAGACAGACAGACACACAGACAGATAGACAGAGACAGAAAGAGAAAGAGAAAGAAAAGAAAAGAAAAGAAAAAATAGAAAAACAGAGACAGAGAAAGACCGAAAACGAACGAAAAAAAAAAGAAAGAAAAGAGAAATAGAAACACAAGAACTACACACCCCAAACCGCACTCCTTTCACCCCACTCCCTTTACTCACCGAACGCCTTGATCTCCAACAGAAATCACATACGACGAACTGTCAACCAAACTCAAGGACGTCACAGTGATCGACGTCCGGAACCGCATCGAAATGGAGCAGAACGGACAGATTCCCGGATCGCACTGCATTCCCGGTGGGTCGGCGCCGGCGGCCGCGCTCGGGCCTTTCTCGGGTTTTACTGCTACTACTACTGCTACTATTATTACTACTGTTACTACTATTACTATTACTATTATACTACTACTACTACTTCTATACTACTACTACTACTATACTTACTATACTACTACTACTACTACTACTACTACTACTACTACTTACTACTGCTACTTCTATATACTACTATTACTACTACTAATACTACAACTACTACTACTACTACTACTACTATTACTACTGCTACTACTACTATTGCTACTACTACTACTACTACTACTTCTACTTCTACTATTACTACTAAAACTACTACTACTACTAAACTATTACTACTAAAACTACAACTACTACTAAAACTATTACTACTACTACTATTACTACTGTTACTACTACTATTGCTACTACTGCTACTATTATTAATACTACTACCGCTATTACTATTACTACTACTATTACTATCGCTACTACTACTACTGCTACTATTACTACTTCTACTATTATTACTGCTACTACCACTATTACTGTTACTATTACTACTACTGCTGCTGCTTCAACTTCTACAATTGCTACTACTATTATAATTACTGTCATTACTACAACTGCTACTACTAATGTTAGTATTATTAATATTGCTATTACTACTACTTTTGCAAGTAGAACTACTACTATTACTCCCAAATATCATTACAACTACTGCTACTTGTACTGCAACTATTACAAGTAGTAGTAGTAGCAGGTGTTCTACTATTACTACTACTAATAATGATGATAATAGTGATAAAACTATTACTGAAACTAGTACTACCAATTAGTGCTATAGCTACTACTGTTACTACGACTATGGCTATTACTGCTACTACTATTAATTTTACTATTCGTGTTACTAGCACCATTACTCTCATCTCTAAATCAGGTACAATCACTTACAAATATTATTTCTATAACTGATTTTAAGTGTCAATGCAGTAGATACTATTATTATTATTATTATTTTTTTTTTATGATTGTCACTTTGTCGCTAATTCTAAGGACTTGCTAGTATTATTGCTGTTCTTATTCTTCTTGTTATCATCACCATTAATATTATTCCTATTTTCGTTGTTATTGTAGTTATTGTTGATGTCTTGTTCTTTTCAATTATGCGTTAAATGACATTTTTTTTCTTCTTATTCTTCTAGTTACAAGGACAAAAATCCCTAATCTGACTCTCAAGGTGTTTGTTACGAAGCCACGATAACTGGCTGAGGGCGAAGGGCGGGTTTCATAATTATCGTTCACCCACTCTTTGGTTCATCTTGGGGTGGCTCCGTTATACGTAAGCGCGCTCACTGTCACCCTTGCATTCACTCACAGTCACTCTCACTCATATTCTCTCTCTCTCTCTGTCTGTCTGTCTGTCTCTGTCTCTGTCTCTGTCTGTCTCTCTGTCTCTCTGTCTCTCTGTCTCTCTCTCTCTCTCTCTCTCTCTCTCTTCTCTCTCTCTCTCTCTCTCTCTCTCTCTCTCTCTCTCTTCTCTCTCTCTCTCTTCTCTGTCTCTCTCTGTCTCTCTGTCTCTCTGTCTCTCTGTCTCTCTCTCTCTCTCTCTCTCTCTCTCCTCTCTCTCTCTCTCTCTCTCTCTCTCTCTCTCTCTCTCTCTCTCTCTCTCTCTCTCTCTCAACAACAACAGCAAACCCTTTCCCGTCTCACCCACACGCCACCCACCCCCCCCCCCCCCCTGTACCGACTTTTTACACGCTTCAAACTTACCAAACTAAACCCAACGACCCTCTCCGCAGTAACGGAAATCAAATACGCTTGCACGATGGACGAAAACGCCTTCAAAAACCGTTACGGATTTGAAAAGCCCGGACCCGATGACCCTCTGGTTGTCTGCTGCAAGACCGGCGTCCGCTCGAAGACTGCTTGCGACCTGCTGCAGGCCAACGGCTTCAAGAGGCACAGGTGAGTTCGTGGTCGCTGGGTTGTGAAAGAGGGAAGGTCGGTTTAGGAAGGGTTGTGAAAGAGGGAAGGTTGGTTTGGGCGGGTTGTGAGAGTAAGGTTGGTTTAGGCGGGTTGCGAAAGAGGTAAGGTTGGTTTAGGCGGGTTGTGAAAGAGGTAAGGTTGGTTTATGCGGGTTGTGAAAGGTAAGGTTGGTTTAGGCGGGTTGTGAAAGAGGTAAGGTTGGTTTAGGCGGGTTGTGAAAGAGGTAAGGTTGGTTTAGTTGTGAACGGTTGTGAAAGAGGTAAGGTTGGTTTAGGCGGGTTGTGAAAGAGGTAATTGGTTTAGGCGGGTTTAGGCGAGATAAGGTTGGTTTAGGCGGGTTTTGAGGTAAGGTTGGTTTTAGAGGTAAAGAGGTAAGGTTGGTTTAGGGCGAGTTGCGAAAGAGGTAAGGTTGGTTTAGGCGGGTTGTGAAAGAGGTAAGGTTGGTTTAGGCGGGTTGTGAAAGAGGTAAGGTTGGTTTAGGCGGGTTGCGAAAGAGGTAAGGTTGTTTTTTGCGAAAGAGGTAAGGTTGGTTAAAAGAGGTAAGGTTGGTGGCGGGTTGTTAGGTGTTAGGCGAATAAGGTAAGTTTTTGTTTAGAAGAGATTGGTTTAGGCGGTATAAAAGAGGTAAGGACGGGTGTGAAAGAGGTAGGTTGGCCTAAGTGTGATTGTGGTGGTAAATGGTTTTGATATTGTATATAATAGGTTATGCAACACACACACACACACATACACATTTATGTATGAATTCATATGTATGTATACATATTTATAGATAGATTGATAGGAGAGAGAGAGAGAGAGAGAGACAGACAGACAGACAGACAGACAGACAGACAGACAGACAGACAGACAGACAGACAGACAGACAGACAGACAGACAGACAGACAACGGAGATGCATAAGTATATGTATGTCTATAAGTTCTATGAAAAGCACAAGCGTAAATACAACTACACATTTTTTTTGTCTTCTTTCTCAATACTTTTAGGAGATTTCAAGCTTTAAAAAGTAAAACAACATGTACCTTATACATCTATTCGCTGAATGATTTCATATATTGTTAATGAATATATATATTTACATCCTGTAGATAAGTTCTCTACATTGTCCACCATTTTATCATTATATAGGACATTGTATTTTCAGTTAAACATTAATTAATCTGACGTCTGTCCGTTTCTTCTTAAATAATTTGATTGAACCCCGTATTACTGACATAATTATGAGTACTGAATTATAGTAATGCTGGTAACGAGATTATGATTAGTGATAATGATGATAATGATAGTAGATTATATTAATATTAATTGATAATAACAATGAAAATAATGCTAATAATGATAATACCACCAGTAAAAATAAAATCAGTAATGATTTTGATAATGATATGAGAAATAATGATGATAATAACAGCAACAATGGTGATGATGATAACGGTGCTGATAATGATGATAGTAGTAGCATTAGTGATAGTTGTGATGATAATAATGACAATAATAACAATACTGATGGTAATAATAATAATAATAAAGATGAAAATAATGATAAGGAAAATATGTCTGGTAATAACAGTAATAATAATATGGTGAATAACAATGCTAACAATTGTAAAACTTGAAGTAAAGTAGTCATGGTTAAAATTATCATAGTAACGTTAACAGTATAACAGTAATTAGAATACTAATGCTAATATCCTAAAAGACTGTTTTTATTTATCACATTGTTGACTAAACATGAGTGAGTTCTGAAATGATTGTTACACAAGAACTCAAATCCAGTACAGGTGATTTTGGAACCATGTTTAAATCCACTTTTGTTTCTCTTTTCACTCTATTCATTTTATAATCCACTTCCATTATAAACAGACGAGAATTTTAATTTTATCGTCTCTCCTTTTCCAGAATTTATCGCGGATCCTTTAGCGAATGGGAGGAAAAGGGAGGAGAGGTAATAAAACCTGGTCAGCCCATTTTCTATGACAGCGATAATGACGACGATTCTTCATAACAAGTTGCCGACATGTTACGGCTGAAGCGAGGAAGGTGGAGGGAAAGGGAGGGAGGGAGAAGAGAGTAAGAGAGCGAGGGAAGAGGGTAGAGAAGGACGGATTGGGGGGAGGGCTAAAGAAAAGAGAGGTGAAAAGGGAAGAGGAATGAGAAGGAATAAGAAAAGGGGTGGGAGAAATTCAGGAAAATCGGGAATGGGAAGAGAGGAAAACAAAGAAATGAATAAATGGTAGAACAGAGGTCAAGAAAAAGACCACAGGCCAAGGAGAACAGAGGTCAAGAAGGAGGAGATAATTAAGATTGTAAGAAAGGAAAAGATAAAGGAGAGAGGAATGAAGTTAATCATCTTAATCCATCGATCAACTTTAGGAAAATCACAATCATTGGCTCATAACCATTGGATTGCCAGTTCGATGCTCAGATCCTTAAATTTAATGCTGATTTCCAAAATGGTGATTTTAGGTCTTACGTTAATGTTTCCTGATATTTTAAGGTTATAGACAGGAACTTATGGTTAGTCTCATAATCCTGTTATTTCAGATGTAATTTATTATATATATATTTTTCTATAAATGGAATATAGATAGCTATGTTACATATACCACCAGTACCTCTATTCTCGTTATTAATCTGCAGTCCTATATCTTGTAAGTTTTTTTCTTTTTTTCTTTACATATAGGTTAAAGCTTTTGTCGATATATATATTATTTCCACTATGAATGATTGCTAAAGACAATCAACACTTTGAAATATATGCGTGTTTGTTT